AACCCAAACCATTCTGTGATTATATCATTCTATGACTTCATGACAGGTTGCAATCTAGGTTTTTTTTAGATGTAGTGTTTTATTTCAGTAACCAAAAGTAAATGAATTGTGTTGTTCTTAGGTGATGCGGTACTGCTGATCACCCCCATTCTCCACCTCTCATTCTTGCCACTTTGGAAACCATCTTGTTTTTCAGGGAATCTGTATGGTGAGGTGGCTCTGTACTTCTCAGGTGCTCTTCTTAGTGTGGCACAGCAGGAGAATAGTCTCTGCGAGGTGTATGTGTTTCTGCAGTTCTTAGCTTTGTATTAGAAACTTGTGCATATCTATGTGTGCTAGTCTATCGCATCTTGATTTTTTTGCTTTACAACAACAACACATGATTCCTCCCCATGCCTTTGCTTTTCATGTTGACCTTAGCTCAGCTGTACACGGCCCTGTGGACATCCACCAGCACTGTGCTGCACGTGTCGGTTTGCTCCATAGCTGAGGCTTCCTTAGGCAAGGAACTTGGGCCTCAGGTGTTGGGACCTGTGCAGCTATGCATGCTTGGTTTGGTTTGTGTTTGAGGCGTTGGGGTTTTTTATGTGTGCGTCCACAAAGAGGCAGTGTTTTCAGGAGGCCATGTTTTACTCTTGAGCTCCACATATACCCTGTCCCCAAATATAAACAAATTCACAAACCTTTCAAATGAACAAATAGATTTGAAACCTTTACCAAACTGGCAGTGTTGTGCACTCCCTGTTGAGAAAAGGCAAAGATGGGTTGTACCTTAAATTGAAGGCAAAGCAGAGTTTATGGGAGAGGGTGAATGTACATACTGAAGTGAGCTGTTGAAGGCTGTGAGTACTGGACGTAGAGTAGAATCAACATTGCTGGTACTCACTAACTGCTGGCATCACCTTCTTCCCCTATGGTTACACTGTATGTCCACCTGTAAGCCCTTTGAGAGTTGCTACCATTTACTGACTTTTTAAATGCTTCACAACCTGTGAATTGCACCTGTGGGGAAGAAGTCGGTATATTTAAAAGCATGCACCCTGAGAGACTACAGTATATTAACAGTAAATGTACCCATTTCAGGATCAGGTGTTGTATTGCAATGCGTCTGTGTTTGCTGGTCTTTGGTCTGTGCTTATTTTTGTCGACTTTACGTGCAGGAGTGCAAAAAAGGAAAAAAGTTGAACTTGGTTTACAAGAGAGCAGTCTGTTACAAACTGTGTTCAAGATTCCCAGTGAAGTTTGAGGATTCATTGAGCTACATGCTACTGCACTCATTAAGACCAGACTTTATCATCTCATAGGATGAATGTGGCCTAGTTCAAACAGAATTGCAACTGTCCTTTGCCCCCTCTTTTCCTGTTAACCTGGGTGGTTCCACAGGAACAACCCAAGTCTCAGTAGGAGCCAGTAGTACCCTTGGTACTGATCATTCATTAAAGCAAGGTTATTTATTTTGTGTTAGAAGCAGAGAAAGCAGCTGAGGATCAAACCAAACATGACTTAATGCACTTTACCATTGAAATCAACAGTGTGTCTGCTAATTTTTTTTTTTTTTAAGATTTCCTTGAAGTCATTTGGTTCAGCCTGATTGATTTATTTATTTACAAGCTCGGAACTAAAAAGTTAAAATAAGATTATCAGAGAGAATAAATTGAAACTTACCAAGTTTGTGAAGCAAAGTGCAAATTACTCCTGAAACAGTGAGACTAAGATTATTTTCTGACTAAATAAGATAACAAGGAATCTAACCTCTATCTGTAAACCAGTGTTGCCCAATTAGCTGTTTGGGTGGATGTCATGGTTTAACCCCAGCTGGCACCTAAGCACGGCAGAGATGCTCATTCATTCCCCCCTGGTGGGATGGAGGGAGAATCAGAAGAGTAATAGTAAGAAAACTTGTGGGTTGAGGTAAAGACAGTTTGATATGTAAAGCAAAAACCATGCATGCAAAACAAGGAATTCATTCACCAGTTCCTGTTGGCAGGCAGGTGTTCAGCCATCTCCAGGAAGTCAGGGCTCCCCTTCATCCTTCTCCCCCTGAGCTTTTTATGCTGAACATGACATCATATCATCTGCAATATCCCTTTGGTCAGCTGGGGTCAGCTGTCCCAGCCGTGTCCCCTCCCAGCTTCTTGTGCACCCCCAGCCTCCTCGCTGGTGGGGCGGTGTGCGGGGCCGAACAG